TACACCCCTTTGTTGGCTCTGTTAGTGGCCAAGCTGTGCTGGCAGCCCACATACTAAAAAACAAAGGAAGAGTGGCATGGATGTTGGCTCAGGGCCAATCTTCCTCAGCCAAAAAAAAAAAGAGCTTATTAAACAAATGCATTCAGATCATGAGAGCCTATATAATTCCACAAATACACATGAAGCACATGTTCTGGAAAGAGCACTGTACTAGACTGGTTTAGGGAAAATGGGTAAACATTACTATGAAGCACACATCAGCAGGAAAGGCACACTAAACCCCTCTAAGACAGAATCTCCAGAAGATGCAAATAATTTTCCCAGATTAAGCAACAGAAAAATGACACCCACTTAAAATCAAAACTGAAGTAGAACATAATAAGGCACCCTCCCACAGTGAAAATTTCAGTATATACCACACACCCACAGAAAAAAAACAGGACCATGCAAACCCTCAACATTCTTTCTATGTTAAGGTAAAAATATGATGTATCAAACATCAAGATATTTTACATCTCATGGCCAAAGATAAAATAAATGTCTTCTGAAGGAAAAAATGATTAATGCTTAAGAAATATCTGCTGGCCGTCCTGTTTTCTCATTGGAATCGCTTATACTGAAAGTAAATCACTTGCCAAAACAAATTGCAGGAGTTACATATATATAAGTTGTGCAAGACTTCGAAAAACACTGAGGAAAAATCAAAGTATTTAACTTAGACTCTGCCCACTTGCTTTGCTATCCAAACGTTTCTCCCTTTTTCTTAAAATAAACTGCATCTAATCCTGTTAAAATCTCATGGTATTTATCTAAAAACCAGCTTTCTAAATTTGATAGTAGTTTTTGGATTATCTAATTTATTAATTTGTTTTTACATTTATTTTCTCTCTTGCTTTGATGGGGTTTTCCTCTACATTTTTACCTTGGATGTTTTTATTTTCCTTTTAAAAAGCACTTACGACTATGCATTTGCCCCAGAGTATAGCTTCAGCCACATCCCACAGATTTTCACATGTAGTATTTTATTACTTTTTCAATAACCTATAATTCTACTTTTTTTATTTCCTCTTTCATTTAAAAGCTTAGGGAAAAATTCCTTTTTAAATTTCCAAATGATATTTTCACTGAATGAGCATTATTCACTTTCTTTTTTTGATTATAAAAGCATTATTTTTAAAATCTGTTAAGACAGTCATTTACCTATATCCATAAAAGCCAACTATAAGTATTACTGAATAATAAACATTTTATAGTATCTTACTTAGAATATGTTTAGTTTGCAGTGTCGATATTATTTGAAGTTTATAAATTATTTAAAGGAAAGAATTCTAAGCCAATAATTTTGTATCTTTATTGGTGAAGAGCACTTTGCATGAAGTCATACGTATTTGTTACGTTTGCTTTTCTAAGAGTTAAAGACATTAGTGATCAATAATTCTGTAAATTCTTTTAAAAGAACTTATCTAATGTTAATGAACTAAAAATTAAGCCAATGTTTAAATTATTTGATAATACAAAAGAGTCTGTAAACCTCAAGTGTTCTGTCACTGCTAAGGTCACCGTTTATTTAAAAAAAAAAAAAAATCTCAAAACACTGTCCTAAATTTCCTAAAAATAGAAACTCTAAGCCTTTATAAACAAAAGGAACTCCATGATTTATTCTCCACATCCCTTTACTCCAGCTTTTTTTTTAAGGACAAAAAAAAAAGAGCATTATACCAAGTAATATCTGTCCTTAGAATATCTAACTCTGGCAGTTAAAATTAAGCTACTTGTTTTGATTTAATACAATCTTGCTAAAAGAGAATACTCCTGAGATTTTCTTCTAGTCATAACATTCTTTCAAATAGTCATTATTGCAATTAAGGCTATTATCTAACACACATCCCAGTAACTTACTTTTTATAATCTTGATCAACATATACACAGTTTACCCTTTTATACAAAGATTTCAGATTTTAAAAAAAGAGGTAATTCAAGTACAACAACATGAATGCCTTCAGGCAAAACAGACAAGACTTTTTTTTAAAGTTACACTTGTGCAATACTCCAAAGATTTCAATTAGGTTAAGATAAAATGCAGAAAGTAGTCCCATTAGTGCTGTATTTTGTTTTTCATTGCATCAAATTCTTGATTATCCAGGCTAGTAGGTGCTGGGAGGCAGGGACGATGACAATGTAAAAGATAATCTAAAATAATAGTTCCCCACCCCTGCCAAAAGTTTCAGTATTTTCCATTCTCAAGAATGACCTCTACTGACCTCTCAAGAAGACCTCTATTAAATGACTTAAATTGACAAGTCGAGGTTTATTCACTATCCATTCCCCACTTCCCCTATCTGTATGAAGTACCGCTTTTTAAAAATCAAATTTCTACGAATTACTAACCACTACAATATTATGAGTAAGTTTTAAAGCTGTAGGCATGCCCAGAAATTCTGAATATAAACCAACAGTGGTTTAAAATGTATAAACAAATGTTTTGTGAGTAAAAATGGAAATTTAGCACATATCACATATACTTTTAATGACTTTTACCTACCTAAATTCACTTCATTGGTCAAAATATAAAAGTAATATTCCAAATAACCTGGAAAAGCCAGTACATTACTCTATGGTATAGTGGAAGCAATCAAGAACTCCAGAAAGTTGACAAATCTCAGTTTGAGTCCCTAATCAAGCATTAAGTTCATGGTTCTTAGCCTTTTTTTCAATGACAGATCCTTTGAGAATATGATGAAAATAATGGAGTTTTGTCCCAGAAAAATGCTAACATAAAATGAAGCACACTCCTTCCAGGTCATCCGTGGACCCCTGAATTAACTGCCTACAGCCAGAACTAGGCAAAGTAGCATCACTTTTCTGGATCTCAAGTTTCCTGTGAGTATGTGGGGGGAGGAAGGGGGTGGTTCAAATCATGTCCTCAGTTAGGGTTAGGCTAGGGAAGAGGTAGGAGGTACTGGAGGGGAAAAAAAGGAAAAAATTCCTCAACAGAAAACCTACATTCATGATTTTTTTCTAACCCTTAAATTTCTACAAGGTTTTAATAGGTTGTGGACTTCGAAAAGATATAGGATGAAAGAGAAAGAGGCTCTCTAGTTTAAATAATTTGCTCATAGCACTTGCTGTTAGATAATCACACACAAAGAGCTTTGCTAAAAGTTACCATCTAAACAGTTAATTACATTTCCTTTGGATGAAAGGAACCATAAGTATACATATGGTAGCATTACTGGTCACAGTTCTGGCATCATGGCGAGGGACCAAAATGTTTAACTTTCATTAGTGACACATATACAATAACGTCATTCAAGAAAATTTCCTATTCATTTGTCAGGCATTCTTGACAGATACCTTAAAAAGAATTGTTCTTCATTAAATTGGATATAGGCTGTATACAGAATACTCTGGGTCACAGGAAAGCCTGTCTATACTTGCCAAGAGGCTCCAATCAATTTTGCCTTGGTAAATCCAGGTATTGCTTCATAAAACTCATCTGTATTTTCAGAGTGATACTCACATAAAGCCTTTATTTAAATTAAAGCTTTTGTAAAAAACAGATATACACAACTAGGAAGCTGTGTTCTGCCTGCTAAAAGAGCACGATTTCAAAATCAAAACTGGCTCTGACCAGTTACATAGATACATATACACGAATTTGGGAAATCTTATTTATGCAGGTGCTAATTATGCATTTGTAAATTAATTAGGCAAATCACTAGTTTCTTTTTCCTTCATCCATCTGCCTAGTTCATCACGGGGCAAAGCTTTCCAATGACGAGGAGAATGGACAGTAAATAAACTTTAACTTCATCAAATTAAGTCGTTTCATAGAGATCTCAAGAATGGAAACTACTGAAACTTCTAGGGGGTAAAAAACTATTACTCGAGGCCATTTTTTACATTGTCATCATCCCCACTTCCCGACACCTACCAGCATGGATAATCAAGAATTTGATGCAACTAAAAACAAAACAGAACACTTACATGGGACTACTTTGTGAATAGGAAAACGGGCTGCTCGCAAATGAATTCATGCTTCGGGTCCTACACAATTAAAACCTAAGTTCGAATTTTAAAAAATACTAATTTTTGCCAAATAATTAAAAGGGCAAGGGAAAACCGTAGTATTTCATATCTTAAAGGGAACATCTCCTTAAAACCATTGCAAAAACAATGCTTCGCTCAATGAAACATAGATCTAAAGAGCCCGTAACCCCCCCCTCCCCCCTTCATCTGTAGCTATCACACATTCTCTGACAGTCTTTCTGAGTGAGAAGCCTTCAAAAGCCTTTCCACCTTGAGAACACATTCCAGAACTAAAAGGAAGGGGGGGGGGGGGAGTGAAGGGGAGATTCGCTGGAAGTTATAAAACCTCCTCTCGGGGAAGCACGGACAACTTGGAGTCTTCTGGCCCCTTTCACCAAGCCAGGGAGGAAGGGCAAAATCGAGTCCGCAGCCCGGGGGGTGCGGGAGGTGGGTGGTATCCGGGGCTGGAAAAGCCCCCACGCCCGAGACAGCATCTGGAACAATGCAGGAGAGTGGGGCACCGCCAGGCTCCCAGGCAAGGAGGGATCTGCACCCGCAGGAACCCAAGGGCCCCGGCCGTCCAGGCCCACGCTCGGAGACCAGGGCCCGCCCGGGAAGAAGCAGCGACCCCCGAGCCCCAGCGCGGCCGGCCCAGCCCGACCCCGCGTACCTGGTCTGCGGGGGCTCGGTCCATGGCGCCTGCAGCCGTACGCGGCCTGCGTTAGTCGACGTGCAGAGCGCCTCGGGCCGCTTTCTCCATGGCCCCCGCTCGGCTCGAGACCAGGCTCCGGACCGCCGCCCCTATCCGGCTGGCCTCGACAGAGTCCGGCTACGCCACTGGCCCAGGAGGCGGCTCCAGCTCTAGGAGATGGAGGAGGCGGCGGCAGCAGCCTAGGGGAGGGATCATCTGGGACGGAACCCGAGGAGGGCCCAAATGGGCGGAAGGCGAAGTCGGAAATGGCGGCGCGGGCAGCGAGAGGAGGGGGAGGGGACCGAGAGGGCCAGTGGGTTGAGGGAGCGCGGGCGGCCTGAGCAGGAGGTGGCGGGCACCGGAGCCGGCAGAGCTGGAGGCTGAGGCCGGGTGGCGATTCCTAGGAGCAGGTGCCCCAGACCTCTTCGCTTTGCTCAGGGTTTAACTGCCCCTCTGGACTGTTCAACTGAAGGACTGTCAGGCCACTCGGACACCCGGTTCCAGGCTTCACAGGCCACTTCATTATCCCAAACCACATGTTAATGATGTTGGAAGAGCTTTTAGCTGCCCGCTATATGTATGATTCTTCCTTACATTACCTAGATAAAGGGAATCATGATCGTAAAGGAAAAGACCACAGAAGGGTCACCAGAGGGAAACTGAGTCAGGAGGCTCCACGAATTTATTGATTAGGTGATTCATTGTTTAGGTCCAGGCCCACCTCTAGGCTCACCTCCAGGCTGATGTCGCCTATCTCCAAATTTTACCCCGAGTCTGTATCCCACCGCCCAACAGGTAATTATATACTCCGGTATGTTGCTTTTTCCACTGGACTTACTGGTTGTTCCTTTTATCTCCAGTTCATTAGCTCCTCGAGAAAAGAGACTGCCATGACACTGGACACTTGGTAAGCATGGCAGATTCCCCCTGGGCATCTCATCAGACACACCCTCTGACCCTTCCTGGAAGAGTTCTTGCTTGCTGGTCAGCTTCAGGGTGAGGAAGAAAAATAAAAAGCTATATAAACTAAATTATACTTAAGTGAAGGGAGAGAGTAGAGGTGGCTCCTTCTTGGGGGACTGGTGTGGAGTCACAGCTGAGAAAGAGAAGTTTAAGAAGTTTGCTTTGTCAGGCTTCAGGAGACATCAGTAAAGATTTGAATTGCCTTTTCAAGTTAGTCCGGGTTGTTAATCTGGTTTACTTTGAGTAGAACTCCAAGAAGAGGCTGGTCTGTGAAGCCCCTAACTGTACACACGTTTATATTTTCACCTGGTGAAAGGAGCTATATTGCGTCATCAAGGCTTACATCAAGCCTGGCAGTAGAAACTGTTTTTAAGAAGAAACATATATTTAGATAGAGATCTCTCATTTATTTAGTTTTAACTCTTCTGCCTCTTCAAATGCTATATATGTGTGTGCAGTGTGTGTGCATATATACCTGTTTATGTGGTTAGGTTTCACGTGTATGTATGAATGTTACATACATGAACATTTCATGTAATGTTAGGCCCCTAGTGTCTATCACTGAATGCTGAATGAATTTAGGTTTGCTCAGAAAAACTAAGCTATTTATAAGATGTAGTTATATAAACTAACAGATGATCATCCTCCTTCACAATTGAAAGATAAAAAAGAACTCTGAATTTTCACAATGTTTCCCCACTGGTGGTCTCAAGCCATAAGCTACTCCCATCTGAGTAAAAAAGATAATAATAATGCAGTAATAATGAAGTCATAAAAATACTACAGTATTTTGGTCTTCTTTCTTCTTCTAGGGAATGATCTGAGGAAATTGGATAGGATCTCTAAGGATTTTTCCACATTATAGGATTTTTATGACTATGAAATAGTTCTTGTTGAGAATCTTCTATGTACAAGACATTTAAATTTTAAAAACAGAATGATAAGAAATTGTAAGAACAAAAATGTCATAATGCCCTTCTTTAACGCAATCCTAGAAAAGATTGCAATAGCTGTTAGAAGGAAAAATTAAAATCTATGAGGAAAAAGAAGACAATTTTAAAAATACTACATTTTGCAGATTATATGATTGAGTTTTAATTAATTATCTCATTCAGCAACAAATATTTAATGTGCCAGGTGCTATGCTAACTATTGGAGGTGTGGCAGTTAATAAGACACTGTGAGGGCAGAGACTGTGTTTGTCTTGTGGGCAAGACATATATTGAACAAGTAATTACAGGTGAGCTGAGTGGTGTGAAAAAGGAAGTTCATTAGGTTCTAAGCAAAGATCTGAAGAGTGAGTAGGAGTTATGATAAGTGAAGGAGATGCAGTAGAAAAGTTGTTCTAAGAAAAGGAAATGGTATGTGTCAGGACTTTGAGGTAGGAGAGAGAATCCAGCATTGGTTCTTAAACAAGCTCATTCCTTGAAATGAGAGTTCAGACGACAAGGATAATACAATATAGCAAGGCATCTGAGGAGGTTGGAGGGGATAGGATACAAAAACCAAGGGAAGAAATTGGCCCCAGATGGGAGTAGGGACGTGTTGTCCATGATAACAGAGGAAAGGCAGAAAGGATGGACAGGACTGCAGATACGTTTATGAGTTGAGGGAATGCCTGTCCAATGGCTCCTATTTTCTCAGTGAAGTAGGAGGCAAGGTTATCTCCTGACCATGCAGGGAGGCAGAGTTGTGATGATCGTGCATTTGTCAAAACTCAGCAAACATATATGTAATTAAGACTTGTGCATGTCATTGTATGTAAATTTTACATCAAAAGAAAAAAACTATAAACAAATATTGAATTCTAGTTTTAACAAATGCCTGTACCTATGTAACCCAAATTTCTATCAAGATGCCAAATGTTACCATTACCCCCAGTGGCTTTTAGAACTTCTCTACTTCTATCAAATGTTTGTCTTATTCACCGTCGTATCCTCCTACCTATATCAATGCCTGGCACATTGCACGTGCGTCATAAATATTTGTTGAGTAAATGAACATGTGATATAATATTAAATCAGGATCCTTTCCTCCAGGGTTGGGTTTTGTTAGGCATGTGCATTTTATTGAATGAGCAGGATTCCGTAGGATGCAAACATAGAATTCTTTGATTTTTTATTCTGCTGTCTCTTCAAATTCTCTGAGGGCTACTTCTTTCTCTGCCCTCAATGAAATCTCAATGAAGGGCACGCAAATTTCATTCTAAGTTAAAGCTTTTCCTTTTCCCAAGCTCAGTTGTGCTTCAGGATGGAAGCCTGTGGTGAGAGATGTGACACGTTCCACTTTCATTTTCTACCTTTTACATCTCCACCTCCTCTACCTTCACTACTCACTGAGTAAGCTTTTAGATTCCTACAGGTTTGGATTGTGAAGGAGAGGGTGGCAGAGCTTCTCAGATGTCTCAGATGTATAACAGACGTGAAATCACTTGTGGGCAATCGCTTAGGACCCTAGCCCTCAGCCCTTGGACTTCTGAGGGTTCAACCCTCTGCTTGATCCCTTGGGGGCTCAGCTAGGCAGCCCTCTTAGCTGGGATCCCTTTTAAAATGGCTTCAGGCAGAATTCTCCCCCACCAGTCTCTGGGAACATTTTGCTACACTTCATTTATCACATATCTATCCATCCATCCCTCTATCTGTCCAATAATCCATATTATTTTTGGTGCATAACAAAGTAAATTGTTGACATGAGTACACTTTCCCCTGGAAAAAACTCTTGTATCCACAGTTGGTGAAAGTGCAACTTGTTTCTCTCTCTCTATCCTGCCATTGGTTTTCTCAGGAAAGTATCCGATCCCAGATTCCCTCAGACTCCAGGTGACATGTATCAAGTCCTCCAGGTGTTTCCCTGAAAGCTCCTCTCACATAGCTTAGGAGGAGGGGAAGTATCTTTTTTTACCCTGTGGGATGTGTGGGTAGGTGTTAGGTATCGCCAAAGCAATGTTCTTAGTGACTTAGCAGTCCCACCCCCCCTTTTTTGGGTTGGAGATAAGTGGTGAATAATGCTGAGCCACAATTTCTTAGCGTATCTTACATGTTAGGGATGTACATGGTAGGGATCTCCCATGGCTTTAGGGTGTAGGGGTACTTGGTATCTAATCTATTGTCCTTTGGGGACCCAGTCAAAACAGATGGCATCCTTATTGAATGTCATGTTACATGTTCATTTATTTAACAAATATTTTTTGAGCACTTCTTCAGTGCCAGGCATTGGTCTAGGTAGTGAGGCTATAACAATGAACTAAACAAAGTTCCTTCTCTCATGGAATTTACAATTTAGTGTAGACAGAAAATAAGCATAAAAAAAGAAGATAATTTCAGGTAGAGATGAATGCTGTGGAAGAAGTAAAACATGCTATGTGATTAATGTAGATGGAGGGGGAGGTGGACTACTTTCAGTGGGTCGACCTCTGAGGAGCTGATATCTGACCTGAGATTTGAAGAATACAAAAGGGGAGGAGAAAGACAAAGCAGAGGCCCCAGGAGGGAAAAATCTTGGCATTAGAGGAACCGAAAGGAGGAGACTGGTGGGAGTAAACAATGGTGGGAGGAGAGTGATATGAACAGTGGATGGAACCAGAGATTAGAGCCAAGCCAGCTAGGAACCTGTAGGCCATGCTAAGGAGTTTGGGTTTGATTTTCATTCCAAAAGCCCTTTGGAGAATTATGAAGAAGTGCACTGAATTCATGTTTTGGCTGAATGCTGAAGAGCCATTTAACATAAATGTTAAAATTAATACTTAATCTCTGGGATATAAAGGCAAATCTGAATGTGTAAGAATTGGATTATTATTACAATTTTATTATTAAAAATTTTAGTAGTCAAACTTTAGAAGTTCAAAATAATGCAGGAACAAATTCTCAGCATTACAGTTCTCACATGTTCTTACAGTCACGATGCTGCACGTTGTGATTTTAAATAAAAGCCCACTTTCAAGTGAAGTCAGAGGAGGAGCAAGATATTTTTTCGCCAGCTCTGCTGGTATAGGGTGCTTCTGATAGTGATGTTGCCACCTAGTAGGAACTAGTAGGAACTTACTAAGATAAAGTTTTATCTGCTTTATCTCCGGAACTAGATTTGGCCAAGGGAGATTATTCAATTTTGTAGAAGCCCTCTAGAAACTGAAGCTTGTGCTCTGACTGAAAAAGATGCTTTCTGACTATTTTCGGATACAGACCTGAAACTGTTACTCTCATTTAGAGTTTGAATTTCTCATATGTGTATATTTCTGTATGCCTTTTATTATTAAATTGTACATATGTTTATGGATCAAAAGGATATAATTTTCTTCCTAAACTTATCCAGCCAACCTTTCTTATAATCATATTAACTTTCAATTATTTCCCTATTTTGCTATTTAAAGGTTCTCAATAATTTTTTTACATAAAATAATCTTTCACAACCACCATTATTACTGCAGTGTACTCTATGTTTAAACTATTAATAGAAATTCAACATAAGGAGTACATTCAAAATGCTTACCTATATTTGAAAGTACGTATTCATATATTAACAATAATTCTGAGTGACATACCTTGTTCTTATATAGTTATGCTGATTCACCCAGTGAAGTCACCTCATGGGGGTGCTATACCAAGTGTAGGGTTGCTAGTAAGTGAAATAGGAATTTGACAGTTTTTTTTAAAGATTAGCACCTGAGCTAACCTCTGTTACCAATCTTTTTTTTCTCTTTCTCCCCAAAGTCCCCCCAGTACACAGTTGTGTATTCTAGTTGTAGGTCCTTCTAGTTGTGCTATGTTTGGCAATTTTTAAATTGAGAAATAATTGGCATATAACATTGTATTACTTTAAGTGTACAACATAATGATTTGATATATGTGTATGTTGCAAATAAGTTTAGTTAACATCCATCACAATTGTAGGGGAGGAAGACACTTCCTCTACCCTCTCTGGGTTCTTCTGGCTGGAGAACAAATTAAATTCACATGAGACAGAATAACAGGAGAAAATTAAACAAAGCTTTATAACATGTATGCATGGGAGAGGCTCAGGCAAGCTGAGCAACTCAC